TTAGGATACAAGTCTGAATAATTCATGGAGTCAAGCAAATAATTAATTTCAGTGCTTGAGATAACATTGGCCAAAACTCAGTTATCAAAAAAAAAAAAAAAAAATGAACTGAAAATTTGAAGAATTTTGTTAATTTTTGAAATTTTTGGAAACAATTCCCTTGTCTTGATTTTGCCATTGATTGGCAGTAGAATCGATACCAAAAAAAATTTCAAATTTCACATCTTTGAACTTTTAATTGTCTATTGCTTTACAACCAATTCCCTTCTTCTTTCCATTGTCATTTAAACTGATCGTTCATTTCATTGAACCATCGATTGACAGCTAAATTGATTCACTAAGGTCCGATCAAGTCACTCTCTTGGAATTGGCAATTATGCTTTTATTTGTCAATTGATTGATAGTTGGATCAATTTCTTGATAATTATTTGCATTTTCATACTGAATGTTATTTTCATTTAAAGATTAATTGATAGCAGAATCATTTTATCTGTCCATGCAGTCTATAAAGGATTGGAGATAAGTTCAAAAGGCATACTTGAAGTTGATCAATATTTGACTCATAAACAAGATTCATGAGTTGTTTTATTGATATTTCAATGTTTATTTACATCATCCTCAGAACATTATTGTTGTGGCCTTGTTAGGGCCAGAAATAAAGAGACAAGAGTGGAATTGAGTTAAACAAATATATTAACAGAAACAGTAACAGAAACATATACAAACAAGAGAAGTTACAGCAAGAATATTCGGTCCGACTGTCAGAGGTGAATACTGGAAACATCCCTCTCTAAAAGGCAGTACCTGCTCCTATTTATAGCTGGGAGAGTCCATACATGCGTGGGTAAATTACCATAATAATTATGAATAGAAATTATAGCTTTCTTTCATTATTTTTCTCTCTCATAAAATGTAATGTGTGTGTGTGTGTTTGTGTATGTACATATTATATGCGCAGTACTTATTGGAAAGTGCTCAATATTAGTGATAGAGCTTACATATTTAGTTGGATTGATGTGAGTTTGTGACCCTGGGTTTCACACTACGATCGCAAATGGCGTGAAACCCAAGGTCACAAATGCACATCAATTCAACTTATATATATATATATATATATATATATATATATATATAATACAGGTAATAAATCCATTGGTATATAATCCAAGTGGATCCTAGTAATATCAAATATTAAAACTGATCCACAAAAAGAGCTCAATGTATTTATTATAACAGAGCATATAAATTACACAACAAAATCCAAAATTACCTCAAATGGGGAAGGGTGGAGATCTATTTCAAATAATGAGAAGTAGGTTAGTCTTATTCAACCCTGATGTATAGACTGTTCATGTCACAATTAGAAATTTAAGATTTAACTTTGTAAGAATTTTTTAATTGCTGTCAAAGTTAAATTTTAAATTTCTAATTGTGAGATGAACACAGTCTATACATCAGAGTTGAATAAGACTAACCTGTTTCTCAATAGCTGAAATAGATCTACACCCTTCATATGTAATTTTTTATATATAATATTATATATATATATATATATATATATATATATATATATATATATATATATATATATATATATATATATATATATAATATATATATATATATTATATATATATATATATATATATATATATATATATATATATATATATTTATATATATATATATATATATATATATATATATATATATATATATATATATAAACTTTAATGTTATGTTTTAGTGGATTACTTTAATGTTATTTTTTGAGTAGAAGTTTTGTTTATTTATTAAACAATTTATTTTCATTTTCCTACTTGAATATCCAAGAAATCTTATTAAAAAAATATGCACTTTTGAATATTTAGGTCAGCAGATGAAAATAAATAAAAATACTGTTTAATAAATGAATGGAGTGTCTACTCAAATATGGTTATCCACTAAAAAATAAAGTGACAGATTTGGTGTATATTTAGGCAGCAGTTCCTCTCTAATATATGTTTACTTAAAAATGATTGACATTGTATTCCTGTTGAGTCTTTCATTGCATTTTTCTTAGGTGCAAACAAGAGCTTTCTTTTTGAATTTGAGTAGGTGTAGAAATTGTTCCAATTATTGTTCCTTCTGGATGCTTTATAAATTGCTAATAAGTAAAAATATTCCTGAATACAGTGTGTTATAGCCATGTTCATAGTTGATGTGGTCATTTTATTTTTTATGATATAAGCTTTAATTATTTTTAGATGATTTTTTGCAGTTTGTGGTGCATACCACATTTGTCCTCCCAGCAAATATGCTGCATATAGAAGATGGTATATTTTCATGCTATTTCAAATGGGTCCTTATAGAGCTGTGGTCTGAGAGATGTTGGGTTAACTGTCTTGATAAGCAAGTGATGGTACATCTAATAATGATTTAAGAATTTATTTTCATATGAAGAGAAGAGACTAGTTAAGTAATACTTGGGAAGAACCACTCCCCCATATCTATCTTCACTCAGAAGTGATAACAGTAAGAGATGTGATATAGTCAAGTGTTTATTAACATGGAATATGGAATTGGCAACCAAGTTCAAATGACCTCTAAGACTGCTTATGTTCTCTTAGTACTTGGGAAAGACATGAATCCACTTCCTTTGTTTTATGTAATATCTTGATGAAAGATAGGTCTTGTTCCTGGCATGCCATAATTGTCAATGAAGATGAGTGTGTGTGTGTATTAACGCTTGACTAAACGGCTTTCCCATATTATACTCTGTTGGTAGGAAATTTGTAGCCTTCAGTACTTATAGGATATATATGAGTGGGTGCTGAAAATTTCTTTCTCATCAACTTTTCAGAATATGACCAAACATGAGATTTGGTGTGGTGGGATTTTATTAGACTAAAATTGTGTTAGCACCATACATATGCACACAAACATCAATACACATTTATTTATATATTGGTTAGTATTTCTAACTTCTACCTGAGGCCAGTGCAGTATCTGTATGTGTTATGTAGTGGTTTCACAGTGGAGCCTTGTATTTGTACTAAGTCGGTCCTAAAATAGGTTCGACATACAAAATGTTAGGAACTTGATATAATAAGTAATCTAGTTGGGGTGGCTGATACTTTAATATCCGACTAACGGTTGTCCGACATCGGCTATCTGACCAACTCCCCGAGTGACTCGGCGACTGCTACTACTCCTACTTATTATAGGTGGGAGAGTCTGTTAACTATAAAATAGGTGTGTTCCACTATAACAGTATGAATGTCACTTGCCTCGTTAATGTTGGATGTCCTAATCACTGCACGTTTTCCCTGTTAATTTTATATATCTTCTTTAATATCATCAAAGTTATGAACAGTAAAAGTCATACTGCTCATTTATATATATATATATTTATATATATATATATATATATATATATATATATATAAATGCAAATGTCAGTGTGTCACACTTTTTTAAAATTTACTCCTAGGGACTGTGCCCCAACCTATCCTACCATTTTGGAATCAGGCTGACACCATGAGCAAATTAAAAACATTCCAAGCCAGATATGGACCAGCAATCCTGAAATTTTGGATTTCCAAGTTTTCATTACTGCGATTGTTTTCATTAATTTTTGTGGGGAATAAGTTAAATTAAAAATCCAACAAAATTCACCCATGAAATAAAAATAATTGTTTGCACGGAAAGTAAGGACCTACGTACATCAAACTGTCTTTAAATTAAGTAGCAGCAGAAGAATTATCATTGAACTTTTAAAAGGTAAACTTCAATATTTATGCAATACTTAAATGCAGTGATCAATTTTGAGTTCTTCTGTAGTTTATTGTTGCCTATCGCATATGGCAGCAGTATGCCTTGCAAAAAGAAATCTCTGCCAACAAAAGACCAGATTGCAATCAAAAGAGTCAAGGCTGCAGTGAGAAAAAGAAAGTCCTGTGCAAATGAAAACCCAAATCAAACTGCAGTCAGGAGAGCTTCCAATGCTGAGAATATGCAAAGGTTTACAGCCTCTCAAACCCTTGAACAAGCTGAAGACCCAATCAAGAGCCCTCTGCAGGAGCTAGCTTAATTGCCGCCTGATAGGGCAGCTTTTAAGTTAGTTCTAAATAAATATATACTGGCAGGACGTGTGAATTACATGGATTCACTAATCATCTTTGTGTTGTGCCCTTAGGACTTCACTGATCATGGCTCTCCACAATTTCCGGTCCTTTATAGCTCTTAATAATTTTGTCTTTTTGTTATTCTTCCTAAACCCTGTTCCTCCATGTATTTACTCAGTTTCATTAAACATGTTATGTGTTGTCTTCCTCTGTCCTCTTGCCTTCAATCTGTCCTGTGAGCATCATATTTTCCAAGCCCCCCCTTCCTCATTAATAGAATTTTTAATACTGAGCTCTGTACTTTTCCACCCATGATCATTCCCAAATAGGTATAAGTGACATAGTCTCACTTAAAAACACGGAAATGTCCTCAGCAGATCGTTAGGTCATGAAACATGATTTAACCTCCTAACTACAAACAATCTTTATCTTAGATGACCGGAGCGGGTGGGGTGGGGGGTTCATCTTAGATAAAGATTGTTTGTAGTTAATCCTGCTCTGTGTCAAACTCACTTTTTGTCTCTCTACATCCCTCTCTCTCTTTCTGTTTTACTCTGTCCCTCTCTCTTTCTGTTTTACTCTGTCCCTCTCTCTTTCTGTTTTACTCTGTCCCTCTCTCTTTCTGTTTTACTCTGTCCCTCTCTCTTTCTGTTTTACTCTGTCCCTCTCTCTTTCTGTTTTACTCTGTCCCTCTCTCTTTCTGTTTTACTCTGTCCCTCTCTCTTTCTGTTTTACTCTGTCCCTCTCTCTTTCTGTTTTACTCTGTCCCTCTCTCTTTCTGTTTTACTCTGTCCCTCTCTCTTTCTGTTTTACTCTGTCTCTTTCTCTTTTTCCTTTTCAGTATCTGATATCAAGTGTGACACACACCATACATAGGTACCAACATAGATAAGTTTACGGCCATATCATGTTGAAACACCGGTTCTGGTATGATTACTAAAGTTAAGCAGCATCAAACCTGGTCGGTACCTAGATGGGTGACTGCTTGAGAATACCAAGTGCTGTATGGTTGAATGTGCAGGTGGGGTAATGGATAACAGCTCAAAAATGAATATTGGAGAGCCGAATTTCAATTCTATTTGTGTTCGTTATATTTACTTTCACACAGAGAAATTTATGAATTCACTTCTCCTGCCAGGTATGGTGGGTTAATTAGTAAGACTTTGTGTCAGTAAAACATTATCTCCAAAAAATTTTGTAGCTTAAAATAACCAGCAAAAGCTGTAAAAACAAAGCTTGGGAAATACTACTTTGAGGGACAGGTTCCTGAGAGGATGCTTCCCTGATCACTATAATGTTAACCTCGTCAAGTCTTGGATCAACCATTATGTACTTTCAGCAACCTCATACATTGAGTGGCTCTTGGGCCTTGTATTGGGTGAACAACAGTAAAAAAAAAAAAAAAAGTCATAAATGACTATTATAGAAGAGAAGTGGTATGAATTGCATATATGTCCTGCTGTAGAGTGACTAATGTTCATTTGTGGTTCCTTTTAGATGAGTCGTTATTGATTACCATCCATGGATGTATCTTTTTTTCATGTCCACAACTTTCATTTTCTATCTGACTGAAGATTGACAGTTGAATTGGATTCTGTGCCAGTCCCGCACTTATTGTATCATCCAATTCATCATTTCATGCTTTGGCTTAAATGTTGGTTTGACAGATGAGCCAACATCGCAAGGATTGAGGTCAATATGAACTCTGTCCATGTGGCACTTTTATTGTGTAATTATTTTTATGGTTTTTGTCAGCTGTCACATTACTAAACAGATAGCAGTATGTAACTTGCTGTGGTTACTCCTGAAAGATAGAATCTAAAAATCACTCGGATATTGAAAGATTTTTAAGGTTCTTTGTCCCTAGGAAAATCTTAGACTCGTCTTTATAAAAGAGCTGTTAAAAATCAAGTTCAGTGTACTTGTTTTTTTGAGGGTTATTTTTTTTGTTTTTTTTTACTGTACAAAGTATGGTAAACTTGCAGATTAGGACCCAGAAACCAATTTAAAAAAGAAACATCATTTCTGGTGTAAAAAAATCTGAATAATCCATAAACAGCATAAAAAATTTATGGAAAACTACCATTTAGAAGATATCGACAATTTTAGTTAGGTTTTATTTGTATCTCAGGTAAAGCCCAGCTGACTATTTGATTATTGCACAAACAGATTTGCAAATAACTGCCCAGTGACCAATTTTAATAAAAAGCATCATTCCTAGTGTTTTCTTTTTTTGTTTTTTTAAAAAAAAAAAAAAAAAAACAGATTATTTTTAAAAAAAGCAGTAAAAATTTACAGAAATCTACCACAATCTTAGTTGGGTCCTGGTTACAGCACAGCCACTCGTACAGGAGTAGATTACTGCGTGCCTGTCCTCCTTGATGACTGCGTGCCTGTCCTCTTTGATGACTGCGTGCCTGTCCTGATGACTGCGTGCTTGTCCTCCTTGATGACTGCATGCCTTTCTTGATGATCATATCGTCCTGTCCTCCTTGATGACTCCATTTGATGTCCTCCTTGATGACTGTCCTGTCCTCCTTGATGACTGCGTACCTGTCCTCCTTGATGATCGCGTGCTTGTCCTCCTTGATGATCGTGCTTGTCCTCCTTGATGACTGCGTGCTTGTCCTCCTTGATGACTGCGTGCTTGTCCTCCTTGATGACTGCGTGCTTGTCCTCCTTGATGACTGCGTGCCTGTCCTCCTCAATGACTGCGTGCATGTCCTCCTCGATGACTGCGTGCCTGTCCTGATGACTGCGTGCAAGTCCTCCTCGATGACTGCATGCCTGTCCTGATGACTGCGTGCCTGTCCTGATGACTGCGTGCCTGTCCTGATGACTGCGTGCATGTCCTGATGACTGCGTGCTTGTCCTCCTTGATGACTGTGTGCCTTTCTTGATGACTGCGTGCCTGTCCTCCTTGATGACTGCGTGCCTGGCCTCCTTAATCCAGGTCAGTGTGCAGTAATCAAGGCACATAAACAAGGCTTAACCCAACACACAAATAAAACCCCACTAAGATTGTTTATATCTCATAAATTATGCTTCCAAAAATTTTTAATGCTATTTTTGGAATAGTCAGGATTCACTACACCGAAATGATGATGCTTTTTTTAAATTGTCTTCTGGGTCTTATTCTGCAATTTCCTCGATGTAGTAACCTTCTCTTGGACATGAGTAGAGGCTTACGCCTTGTTTTTTGTTTAGGAAGGGGTTTCCGGTACTCTCTCTCTCTCTCACTGGCCTCTGTATCTCCAGTTGCCTTGATCTATCCACTACTCTTCTCCTCATCCTTTCTTCTATCACTCCTATCTGACCTTGCTCCAAATTTTTTGTAACCCCTTGCATCCTAGTGGCTTTCCGCCTTGCTTGGGGTGAAACGCTTAAAAAAAATCAAAGCATGTAAATAAGGCCTAACTTTTGAGCATTCATCAAGGCCAGTGCACAACTAAGACCCAACTAAGTGTTATAGTGGAACACACCTCTTCTATAGTTAGTAGACTCTCCCACCTATAATAAGTAGGAGTAGTAAGAGTAACGAGGGAGTCAGTCGCTCAGTTAGTCGGTGAGTCAGTCAATGTTGGACGATGGTTAGTCGAATACTAAAGTATCAGCAACCACAACTAGATTACTCTGCGTTATACCTATTATATGAAGTTCCTAACGTCGAACCTATTTTAGGACCGACTTAGTACAAATACAAGCCTCCACTGTGAAATCACTCCACAACACTAAGATTATCAATATCCCCTAAAGCAGTGGTTCCCAACTGATTTTGAGCCATACCCCACTTTGGTATTTCTAAAATTCTGGTGCCCCCACCCCTCATAATATTTAATTCTTACATATTCAAAATTTTACTGCAATTCACGTGAAAGAAGCTTAAAAGTTCATAAACTTGGTCTCTAAACAAGCCTCCAAAGACCATGGCGTCCATGAAAGAGAAAAATTAAAAAAACAAAAAGACAGTTAAATATATATAGTTTCAAAACATATAATAACAAACTAAAAGGCAGAAATATAAAATATTTGAATGAAATATTATTCTGTAATATACTTTGATCATTTTAATCATGAAATAATAATACAAAATGAAATTTGAGCTCACTAGAAATTAATTCACTGTTAATAACTCATACTTGAATTTCCCTCTTATTCTGTTGGTATAGTAAGCTGATAGGGCGCACATCCTATGCATGCCCCCCCACCAAAATATCACCATGCCCCTCCGATGGGGTATGCGCCTCACTTTGGGAATCATTGCCCTAGAAATACATACAAATAAATAGTAAATAATAATACTAATATTAATGAATAATTCATACTTGTAATTCCAAACTCATCCATTTATACCGGGTGCGATGGATAAATTGTCGTCTAAATGACACCCAAAAAAAAATGAAAATAATACTGACAACTCATTTTAACAGATATATTTACCAAAATTATTTTAAAACATATAATAGAGAACTGAAAGGCAGAAATATGAAATATTTGAATGAAAGTTTATTCTGTAATATACTTTGATCATTTTAATCATGAAATAATAATGCAAAATGAAATTTGAGTTGACTAGAAAACAATTCATTGTTAATAAATCCTTTTCAAATTGCTCCCTTTTTCTTCTGGTATAGTAAGCCAAAGGGTGCACATCCTGTGCATGTCCTGCCAGAATATTGCCATGCCCCATGAGTCGGGTATGTGCCCCATGTCAGGAATCATTGCTTTAAATGGTCAGTTTATGCAAATTATTAATGCTGTTTTTGGATTATTCAGGATTTTTTTATGCCAGAAATGATGCTTCTTTTTTAAATTGGTTTCTCTGTCCAAACTTGCAATTTTACCCAAAGTACTAGACATTTTTAAAGTTTGTAAAAAAAAAAAAAAAATGTCAAAATAATAGAAAATTATTGAGTAAGTCATTTTGAAATAGTGTGAAAATGATGAGAAATTAAATACATCGTGAGTTGAATTCAACAAAATTTGTTCATGAGTATATATTCTACCATTCGACCATGTATTGAATACTGCTGGCATGTCTTGCCTGGTACTCCTCCTATATATCTCAAAATTCTTGACAGAATTCAAAGAAGAGTCTGTCATATAATAGATCCTGACCTGGCATCTTTAATCACTTTCTCACCAACAGGATATAGCTTCCATCTGTCTTTTTTATGACAATTTTCATTACAATTGTTTTGATAAGCTTTCCTCCTTGGTGTCTCAACTACATGAATTTAAGTGTGCTACTAGATTGGCAACTAGGTCTCATTGTTTTACTGTTGAACTAACTAGATGCAAATGTATGTTCTATTCTAGTAGTTTCCTTTCTAGCACTTCTCACCTGAGGAACTCCTTTCCAATTTCTTGCTTCTTTCTGGCAATCTTCAAAAATTTAAATGCAATGCCAATTGCTATCTTCAATAAAGTTTTCTCATTCTTCATCAGTTCCTGAAAGTCCCTGCATCCTAATGGCATTATCACCTTGCTTGGAGCTTCCTGATTCTGAGTAGAATTGTTCTTTCTGTTGCCATTTTCTTGTTGCTCTATCCATGGAATTTTCAATATCCTTCTGTAGAACCACAAATCTCCTATATCTGTCAAAATTTTGGAAATGAGGCATTGTAATTATTTACACTATTACATTGTTCAGATTGTTGTCCAGTCACCTGATGAAGGCTGAAGCATACAACCAAAACATTGTGAATATGGCAACAAAGATGAGGATGTGCAAGCCTACTTATATACAAACATATACATACAAACACAAAATCACACGTACAATGCCAAACAATCATTGCCTAATAAATCGCTAATACATTTTCTACAGGCAATTTACAAATCACAGTAATGTGACAATTTTGGAATCGCTTTATTTTATAAGCAGCCAAATTTGTACACTTTGGAAGAAGTGGCTCACTGGAGCTTCCTTAAGTCTCTCCAAAGCTCACTCGCTGATTGGTTGATGCCAACCAATCAGATCATTTGCACGTGAAGAATAATTTTT